TAGAGTCTGTCCTTTAGTCAAACCTCAGATACAGAAAGAACAATGTGGTCTTTGTCCCAGTTGTGGAACACTGGACAGGTTCTTTACCCATTTGAAGATACTTCAGGGTGCATGGAAATTTGCCTAACCAGTCTACATGTATTTTATGGACTTGAGAAGGCATTTGACCGTGTCCATCTGAGTATTCTGTGGGAGCTGTTTCTAGGTAATGGGGTTTCTGGCCTGTTGCCATGGACATTTGATCCTTATTAGCTGTTCCCGTTGTCAACAGTTCTGTTCATACTTTTTATGGACAGAATTTCTAGGCGTATCCAAGTGGCGGAAGACTTCCACTTGGGCGGTTTCAGAATCCTGTCTCTCCTTTTTTCGGATGATGTGGTTCTGTTGGCTTCTTTAGGTGGTGGCCTCTAGTGCAGTGATGAAAAGAGGTGGTGATGTGTTTATCAGTCGATCTATATCCATACCTTCACCTATGGACAAGAGCTTTGGGTAGAATGACATATACAAGTGGTGGAAATGAGCTTTCTCCAAAGGGTGGCTGGCCTTTCTCTTAGTGATAGGGTGAGGAGTCCAGCCATTTGGGAGGGGCTCAGAATAGAGCTGTCAGACTCCTGGGTGAGGTGTTATGGGCATCTCCTACCAAGAGGAGGTCTTGGGGGAGACCCAGGGCATGTTGGAGAGATTAATTTAATTTTCATTTGCTTTATACTTTGATTTTTACTCACTGGTTAACTGTTGGCACAAAAACTATATTGTTAGGTTTATAAAATGGAAAGGAAATTAGAATTTTATTGCACATATTCTTCATTTAACGATACTAAAGATCTGTTTAAAGGTTCAGTAGAAACAGTCTTCTATGATGAAACAGTACCTAAGTTTTGTTGTCTGTAGTACAATACTGGACCCTGTTAGTAGTATTAGTTTGGAAAGTAGTTGGAGTTTCCATATAATTATGTCTTCGTTTCTTAGCAATGCTGCTTGCCTGCTGACATATTCATAGTGCTACGTCTTGTAACACTGCACGCTACATCGCATATCTAAAACACAAGATGGTACCAAGGCCTCTGTAATGTCAGTTTTGATTCAATATTTTTAGACTGACATAATATGCCAAAGCCTGATTGCATTCAAAAAGGTCTTGGACAAAATCTAGAGATTCTGCTACATATTGACATGATAGCATCACACAGTTGCTGCAGATTTATTAGCTGCTTATCCCAAATTCTCTTTCAAGTACGTACCAAGAGTGCTCTGCCAGATTGAGGTCTGTGGAGGACACTGGTACAAAGTATTTTTCCAGTCTTCTGTTGTCCAGTGTTGGTGAACCTGTGTGAATTTTAGTCTCAGTTTCCTGTTCTTAGCTGGCAGGTGTGGTCCCCACTGTGGTCTTCTGCTGCTGTACCTCATCTACTTCAGATGTGTTGTGCTTTCATAGATGTTTTTCTGCATACATGTTTGCAACGAGTGGTTGAGTCATTGTTGCCTTCATACCACCTCAAAGAAGTCTTGCAAGTGTTCTCTGACCTCCAGCACAGAGATGGGCTCTACAGCTGCCCTCAAGTGGCCTTTTAGGAAATTGAATTCTGTGTGAACTTTGTTTTTAAACTCTGCAGGCTGGTGCTTGGTATATTGCATCGTTTAACTTCTATCTTGGTTTAAATATTAGTGAATTTTTTCAGTTGAAGAATTT